AAATGCATTTATATAAAAGAGAGTTGATTTAAGGGGAAAAAAATGTCCAGTCAATGATAGTGCAGGATGATGTATATACCTACGAGCAAAGAGCATGCAGATGGCATATGGATCAATAACGTTTGGTAAACACTAGCTTAGCTGTGGGACAATAAGGAACTGAGCTTCTAATGGGGTTTAGCAGGCACTAGCCTGTCTGCCCAGTGTCTGAATTTCCCTTTTTTGTTGGAGGCATTTCCTTCTTTCTGGGTCTTTGTGGGCTGCAGAACTTACCTCCCACTGTAGAGACTGGAGATGCTTGATAAGCATTTCCCAGCCTCCCTTGCAGCAAGGCCATGATCACGTGACCCAGTCTTCACCAATCAGATGCACTGTGCCTGGCTCTGCATCTAAAGCAGTCAGGGTAGCACAGATGCTTTCCATAAGATCAAGTTCTTGGTGCGAGCAGCATCATGTTGTGGTGACAGCCATGGTTTCCTAAGAAAACTTTGTTCTGTGGGAACATCCGATGCAGTGTGGGGAGTTGGGGGTGTCTACCTGACTTCCTTTGAATAGATTTCTGATTTAACATTTTTTTTTTTTTATATATATTCTTTAAGAAAAAGAGAAAGAGTAGTCCTCAGACTCAAAACCTCCTACTAACAACCATATGAAATATGCATTTAATAACATTCTTAATTGTATCTAATTTTTATTTCTCAGTTGTGTCCAACCCTTAGGAGCCCCATGGACTGTGTAGCAGGTTCCTCTGTCCATGGAATTTTCCAGGCAAGAATACTGGAGTGGGGGTGCCATTTCCTACTCCAGAGGATCTTCCCGACCCAGGAATCAAACCCATATTTCTTGCATCTCCTGCATTGGCAGAAGAATTCTTTACCACTAGTGCCAACTGGAAAGCCCATCTCATTTCTAACTGGGTCATTAATGACAACTGATGTTGGTCTACAACTTTATGAATTTGAAATAAATTATAAATTAAGTTTTTCTCCTGAATAAATGCATTTATATAAAAGAGAGTTGATTTAAGGGGAAAAAAATGTCCAGTCAATGATAGTGCAGGATGATGTATATACCTACGAGCAAAGAGCATGCAGATGGCATATGGATCAATAACGTTTGGTAAACACTAGCTTAGCTGTGGGACAATAAGGAACTGAGCTTCTAATGGGGTTTAGCAGGCACTAGCCTGTCTGCCCAGTGTCTGAATTTCCCTTTTTTGTTGGAGGCATTTCCTTCTTTCTGGGTCTTTGTGGGCTGCAGAACTTACCTCCCACTGTAGAGACTGGAGATGCTTGATAAGCATTTCCCAGCCTCCCTTGCAGCAAGGCCATGATCACGTGACCCAGTCTTCACCAATCAGATGCACTGTGCCTGGCTCTGCATCTAAAGCAGTCAGGGTAGCACAGATGCTTTCCATAAGATCAAGTTCTTGGTGCGAGCAGCATCATGTTGTGGTGACAGCCATGGTTTCCTAAGAAAACTTTGTTCTGTGGGAACATCCGATGCAGTGTGGGGAGTTGGGGGTGTCTACCTGACTTCCTTTGAATAGATTTCTGATTTAACATTTTTTTTTTTTTCTATTTATATTTTGGCCACACGTGCAGCATGTGGGATCTTAGTTACCCAACCAGGGAGAGAACCCATCCCCCTCTGCATTGGAAGCATGGACCCTTAACCACTGAACCACCAGGGAAGTCCCTTCTTTTCTGTTAAGCCAGCCAAAGTCACTGTTGCTTGCAACTCAGTCTCCTGACTGAAACAGAACGTGGGTGCTACAAGCCACAGACACGGTGGTGGAGCAGAGGGCAGCTGGGGCCCGCTTTCCAGGCTGGGAGGCAGTGGCCCAGGCATTGCTGTTGCAAAACATTTGTTTACACCAGGGTTTGGAAGCTTTCTGTAAAGGGCCAGCTAGTCAGGGTTTCACACTTAGGTCCATATGGTCTCTTCTGCAGTTGCTCAAGTCTGCCTTTGACAGCAGCCTGGAACAGTATGCAAATTAGTGGGCGTGGCTATGTGCCAATAATACTGTGTTTAGAAAATCAAGCGGTTGCCTGGATTTGGCCCATGGACCATGGTTTAACCCTGATTTAAACTGTCACCTATTTCACACGAACCATGTACCCGTGGATGTTGTGAGCATCAGAAAAACCTGTAGAAACACATCAGGACACTCCTGTGACAAAAAGTCAATCTTGGGCCAAAGATGGTTCATTTAATGACAAAAATGGAAGGAAATATGGCTTTACTGAGATTCTTTCTGCCTGAGACCAGCAATCTAAATTGGTGGAGAATCCAGTGATTGGGAGACTTACAGGGATAAGCAAGTCAGATTCGGAAATAGAGGCTGGTAAACTTTATTTGTCAAGGGCCAGATAATAAATATTTTAGGTGTTACAGGTCACATACATTCTCTTTTTTGCATTTTTAAAATAACTCTTTTTGAAAAATTATTTATTTATTTAATTTTGACTGCTCTGGGTCTTCATTGCTGCACGTGGGCTTTCTCTAGCTGCGGTGAGCAGGGGCTACTCTCGCTGCAATGCATGGGCTTCTTGTTGCAGCGGCTTCTCTTGCTATGGAGCACGGGTTCTAGAGCGCACAGGCTTGACTTAGTTGTGGCACACAGGCTTAGCTGGCCCGCAGCATGTGACATCTTCCTGGACCAGGGATTGAACCCATGTCCCCTGCATTGGCAGGTCAATTCTTAACCACTAGGACCACCAGGGAAGCCCCAAATAACTCTTTAAGAATGAAAAGGCATTCCATATTTGAGGACCACAAAAAGGCAGGGCTTTGGTCAACAAGCCAGTAATTTGCTAAGCCCTGGTCGAGACTAAGGGTTCGTGGTGTGGAGGCAAAAAGCTGGGCAGAAGATACATGGGGTGATAGGAAGATAAGTCAGATCCTGCAGCATTCTTCATCAAAGGATCAGCCTGGGGACACGGCTTGGACTGAAGGCTTGAAGAGACTGAAGCATAAGACTGAGAGGTGGGAATTCTCAGGTCCAAAGATGAAGTCCATCTCATTCATTAAGACCATAAAGCAAAACCACCCTACTATGCTGTTACTGGATCCCTGACTGTCAACATGTGTGTGATAATAAATGTTTGTTGTTTAAAACAATCCACATGAAAGCTCTGACTGGCTTAGCCTTCCGTGGTCAGAGGAACTGAGAGCCTTCAGCCCCCAGGTACCACTGAGACCCTTTGTACCCACAAGAAGGAGGAAAGGGCCTCCTCCCCACGCCCACCTGAGATACGGCCTTGGAGGACTGTGGACCAGAGAGATCATCACGCTGAGCAGAACCAAACAAATCCTGCACTGACAAACCGCTGGTCTTACTCCCACCATGGAAGGGAGTTCTTGGAACTGGTAACCGGCAGGGAAACCATGCATGGACCACTGGGCACTGATGCTTATCCTGCTCATCCATTTTCCAAACCGGATCATTTATTGTAGACCTCCTGTTCCTTTCTCCCTATTCCACACTGGGTGCCTTTGGGAGCCCACGATGACTCTAAGTCACAGGTTGCTGGGCTGTAAGGAGCCACACTGGGCCTAATGGATATCAACACATCACCAAGTGACCCTGGAGTGGTTGTGACTTCAGGGTGTGTGCCTCCTGGCAAGGGGTATGGTTCATTTCATGAATGTATAACTTTTTTGCTAAGCCCTGGTCGAGACTAAGGGTTCGTGGTGTGGAGGCAAAAAGCTGGGCAGAAGATACATGGGGTGATAGGAAGATAAGTCAGATCCTGCAGCATTCTTCATCAAAGGATCAGCCTGGGGACACGGCTTGGACTGAAGGCTTGAAGAGACTGAAGCATAAGACTGAGAGGTGGGAATTCTCAGGTCCAAAGATGAAGTCCATCTCATTCATTAAGACCATAAAGCAAAACCACCCTACTATGCTGTTACTGGATCCCTGACTGTCAACATGTGTGTGATAATAAATGTTTGTTGTTTAAAACAATCCACATGAAAGCTCTGACTGGCTTAGCCTTCCGTGGTCAGAGGAACTGAGAGCCTTCAGCCCCCAGGTACCACTGAGACCCTTTGTACCCACAAGAAGGAGGAAAGGGCCTCCTCCCCACGCCCACCTGAGATACGGCCTTGGAGGACTGTGGACCAGAGAGATCATCACGCTGAGCAGAACCAAACAAATCCTGCACTGACAAACCGCTGGTCTTACTCCCACCATGGAAGGGAGTTCTTGGAACTGGTAACCGGCAGGGAAACCATGCATGGACCACTGGGCACTGATGCTTATCCTGCTCATCCATTTTCCAAACCGGATCATTTATTGTAGACCTCCTGTTCCTTTCTCCCTATTCCACACTGGGTGCCTTTGGGAGCCCACGATGACTCTAAGTCACAGGTTGCTGGGCTGTAAGGAGCCACACTGGGCCTAATGGATATCAACACATCACCAAGTGACCCTGGAGTGGTTGTGACTTCAGGGTGTGTACCTCCTGGCAAGGGGTATGGTTCATTTCATGAATGTATAACTTTGGACTACTTTTGGCATTCCTTAGGGAAAAGTGAAAGCTCTGCTTTAATTTTTCTTTCTTTTTTTTTGGGGGGGGAAGAGTGTGCCTTTATGATAGTCTTCTTTTCATCATCACCCAACCCTTTAAAGCAGAAGTCTTTTAAATACAAACTGAAGAACAGGACTGGCTACATAACTTGTGGAGACCATCGTAAAAGGAAAACGTGGGGTTGTTTGTCCAAATATCATTAAGAATTTTAAGATGGTGCTAGCCGATCATTAACCAAGCGTGGGGCCCTTTGAGGTGTGGGCAGGCTCCTCTGTCACTGTCGGTCACTCATCCAGAAAGCTGGCCCATGAAAGCAGCAGATAGACTGAGAAATCCTCCTATGACCAACTTTCAGCCCCTCCCAGCTGTCTGTACAAGCCACCCATTAGGACCCTGCCACTCAACATGGCAGCTTCTTCCTCTAGATGTTGGCAGCGTTGGGAACACTGGAGTCTACTGCTCTGGGTAATCTGGTTTTAAACTTTATTTTTCAATGTACAATTTCAGATTATACAAAACATAGAAAATGGGCTACTTTAAAGGCACATTAAGTAGAAAGTATCTAACTACTCTTAAAGTCACATTTGTCCCCAAATCAAGATTCCAACTTAACCTCTACACCTTTCCCTAGCGTCTCCCCATCACCACTGCACGCCCCCACCCCGCCAATATACAAAACTGTCCAACTTGCTGTATTGTAAGTAATCTTTCAAATTAGCGAGTTTAGTAATTCCCATCCAGACAGATTTTAAATGAGGCTACAGCATCTATTCAAGCTACTGCATTTAGTGTGCTTACATACAGGCCTGGGGGGTTAGGTTTCTTCATCACCAGTGAATACAGAGCATCCTAGGGCTTCATCCTGTGGATTAGGGATGCGCAGAGGCACACAACCCATTGCAGACAACGTGGGGCTGGGTGGGGGGGAAATGTCTCCAATTTTCCTATATTCAGGTATGAGTATATACATTCACGCAGAGCAACAAATGAAGCATTCTCCAAACTTATTTGAACAGAGACCCAAAGTAATTTTAATGCGAGTAACAAAAATGAGTTAGTCTGTCTTCATTCATAGCCCCTCAATGAATTACAGTACTTTATAAAAATGTCCTAAAATATGCAAACTACAGTTCCCTCAAATGAAGTTGCCATCAGTAATACATTTGGTCCTAATATTTGCCTCTTGGATGTCTTAGCTCATTGTCTCTGTTGTTGTCCTTGAGTAACTGATCATGAGCACCAAGGGCCGAACCTACCGATGGGTAAGAAGGTTGGGTAGTGTCTTGCTCATGCCATCACTGCTTTTCCACCTCCCCAGGGCACATCACGTCGTGGGGGGAAAGGAAGCTCTGTTGCTTCACAAAACCTTGGCATCACAGATGGATGTGGGCGCTGAATGCTATACAGGAATAGTGGAGAGACCAGCCAGGGAAATCCATGGGTCATTGCAGATCCCACTCCTAGAGCCTTTTGGAAAAGGAAATCCATTCATTGCTTGTGGATGAAGCTTTCTGAATTCTGATTCTAAGGGGTTCTGCTTGTTTCCACTGTGGCTATCAGGGAGTTACAGACAAGACACCCGAGCAGAAATCTTGGGGGCACTTACACCTACCTTCCTCCACAAGGTGTGTGTAGCATCCCGCCAAGCCCAACAGCGTAACCTGCACTCCTACCCCAAACAGGACTAATGAGGGCACTTACACCTACCTTCCTCCACAAGGTGTGTGTAGCATCCCGCCAAACCCAACAGTGTAACCTGCACTCCTACGGCAAACAGGGCTAATGAGAGTTTTCCAGAGGCAGGAAGTGATCATCTGGCCCCATGCCCCGCTGCACTGTGCTAGTGGCCTCTCTGCAGGGAGGGGAGCCCTGTCTCAGGCAGGATGTCTGGATAGGCCTATGTTTTCAGAGCCTTGCACAGTGCTTGGAACACAGCATTTAGTATTCTGCTGAAACTGAATGCAGTGAACGGGTAGATGGAGAGAAAACCTGATCCTGCATGAAAGAGGTATCCATGGAGACCCTGGATGACTTAAACCAGACATTTCCCCAGCTCCACAGGAAGTGGGCTGACGCTTCATTTAGCAGGAGGTCATTTACACGGCACCAGTGCTGACATGCGCAGACGGGTCCCAGGCACACCTCCCAGCAGCAGGCTCTCAACACGGGAGGGAACAGGGAGTGAGGGGCAAAGGGCTTCTCCCATAGTCACGTCCTGGGGTCCCCGTGCTGCCCCCCACCTCCCAGCGCTGAGGATCCTCCCAGAGCCCTACTCCTCCGTGCAGCCTCGGAGTCCCCGGCTGCACTTACCGGGACCCTGGCAGGCAGCGTCCCACGAGAGACACGTGCACCGACTGAAGTGTGAGAACCACGGCAATCTAGGGCCCTCCCGGGGCTTCATCCTCGGTCAGGACCCTGGGCCCCTCCAGGGAAGGAAGCGTTCTCCGGGTGCCAGGCGGCCTGCGCGGCTCCGTCCGCGCCACCTGCCTCGGCTGAGTGGAGCGATATTCAGGCTGATCTAAATCCTCCCGGAGCTTTTAAACCCAGGCAGGCTCAGTGCGGGCCCCGCCCATCACATGGACCTCTCTTCGGAATCCTTGGTTGTGTTCTCGGCAACCTTCACCGCTGTTTGTAATTCGTTTCCCTAATCGGTTTTTAATCTGTCTCCTCCGTTAGACAATGAGCCCCACGAGGAGACAGGCTGTCTGGACATGGTTTCCCCTGTGCCTGGCACAAACACTCCATCACTTATGTGGACGGATGAATGAATGGCGAACAGTCCTCTATGACTCCAGAAGTGAGGCGTCGTAGAGGTCAGGCAGCCTGAGAAGGCAGAGCAGGAGGAGAAGGGAGAGGCCTTCTGAGTTAGGGTAGGGAGGAAGCTGTATCCTCCCCGCACCCCACTCTGGGGTGTTTGGCTGTCAGGATGCAAGCCCTGGGACTGGACTTTGGGTGGTCCAGATGTGAGCAGCTGTGGAAGGGGCAGTGAAGGATGAGCCAGTGCTGGAGGCCAAGGTTTGGGCTTTCAGTGCAGTCTAGACCCACCTCCCCATCTCCACGCGATGAGATCTTTAACATGTATGAGGCAGTTCTGCTCACCTGGCCCTGGGACCGCCACGGTCCTCAATTTTAAGGCACCTGAGCATCACCAAGGAGCTTGTTACAAATGCAGGTTCCCAGGCCCCATTCCCGAAGACTGATTCTGTAGGTCTAGGGAGGGACCCAGAGAGCCTGCATTTTACAAGGTGCCCAGGGGATCACGTGTGTGCCTAAATCAGACCCCCAGATTAAAGCTCACCTTCCTGAAGGCAAGCAGGTACACTGTCAGCAAATGTGGGTGGCACTTTCTGAAGCTAGTCCATGACAGGAGGATTGGGGCTCTGGTCTGGATGTAGACAGAACACCGGGGGGTTTATACCCATCTCTCATGTGGAACTTGGCTAGGCATCCAAGGAGGTTTTCTCCCCTACCTGGATCCCGCTCCCCACCTTCCACCACTAAACACACAGATTCAGTACAGAGAAGCTGAGGTGACGGAGGGGGGCTCAGTGTAGCCCAAACCTAGGGGAAGATGCCCCCCAAGACCTGGCTTTCTCGGCCTCTTGTCCATCCCATTACATCCCCGTGGTTAGGAAAGATCCTGCTGAACACTTTTGGATTTGAGCATTGCAAGATTTTTGGCTTTGTCGTGTTGAGGCTTTCGGATGGGCGGGAGGTCTGAATTCCAGCCTTCATAGTCTAGTCTCTGATCTCAAGAATGTAAAAACTCCTCCTTTGGCTTTTAAAGGAAACAATGTGTTTGCTAGAAAAACCACACACACAAAAAAACTGATTATATACAAAACGGTTATCTGAACGTGGATTCTGAACCGCGGCGAAAGCCACCCAGCTCCTGGGCCCTACTTGCGCTTCCTCAGTATCAGATACATGAGGCCGCTGATGAAGGTGAACGCAAAGGCCACCCAGGCCAGGATGAAGGAGTAGCCGAAGCTGCCGCCCGACGTCTGGGCATACAGTTCTCTGTTGTTCTCGTGAATATCTTTGCGCCGGTCTGTGTAAATGGAAGCTGCGATCATGACACACAGGCCTGTTGGAAGAAAGCCAGGGCCCAAATAAATCACAGACCACAGCGTGCACCGGGGACCCGAGGGGACTGTGGTCAGAGCTGAAGACAAATTTCAGGTTTTATTATTAGTAGGCATTTATTTTAGTCTCTTGGAAAGATTACAACTAGCATTTTGTGGCAGAATATTGATTGCCCTCTAGCCATTCAGCTGCCCATTCTTGCTGGCTGAATCCAGTGTTGTTTAGACAGCCAGCTACCCAACCCAGGGGCTCATAACTGCTCCAGGCCATGGGTCAGCCAGGCAGGAAGTAGTGTGCTTTGCAGGACACATATGGTCTCTATTGCAACTACTCATCCTGTCCTGTTTACTTGATATAGTTTATGGTTTTATATGTTCCAGTTCTGGCCACAGAAAATTCTACAGTAAAAGTTATTACACCCCGAAAAGAGGGAGATGAGAGAGGAGAAAGCATTTTTTGATGCTGTATTTTCCCTTGCTTACTGCTTTAGAAACTCTTAGGTCAGGATGAATGTCAAGAGCTGCAGCAGCCCTTTTGGGGCCATGAGGAAGCCATCACTGACACTCTGAAGATGACGGCATGGAAGGATGGAAAGAATGGAGGGTTCCTGGTGCTGCTGCTGAGCTGCCAAACCAACTCCGGCACCTTCCACCTTCAAGCTATTTGTGATATTAAAGACGTAAAGTTTTTGTGTCTGAAGTCATTGCTAATTGGATTTCTCTCTTAATCACAGCTGAAAACATTCCTACTGAACCATCAGCGTTCACAGATATTAGTGGTACAATGAGGCTAAGTACCCAGATTTTCCTTGGGGGGAGAGGTATGCCTCTCTCCTCTCTACCAAGACAGCAACTCCTACTTACCCTACAGATCCTAGCTCAGGCTTCACATTTTTAGGACGCCTTTCCTGACCCTCTAACTAAATCCAAACTCTGAAGTGCACAAAAATCCCAGCTGCTGAGCCCTTCTTTCCAATTCCTCACCTGCCACGCTCCTCCCACCAGAATACTCATGGTTGGCTGGGAAGGGAGTGTTTACTCTGGGAAGCCCATCATTTCACTTACAAGCCATGAGCTGGATGATGGAGGTTAAAACAAACCTCTCGCCCTGCTTAAGTCGGAAGAGTTGGAGCACGAAGATCAGAAAGGCGATGCAGGAGAGGATGGTGGACAGGATCATGGTGGCCTGGACCGCCTGCACCGTGGAGAAGTCTGTGGGGAGGGGCAAGAGTACGCGACTAAGGACCACAGACCACCTGGGCCCCTGGGGAGCACGGCGACAGCTCCAGAGCAGGGATGGTGGGAGCCAAGAGGTCATGAGGATTCCACTGGCACAGGATGAGCACACGTGCAGCCAGTGAGTCATCCCGAGACCCACTGTGTCCACTTGTGCAATTCACCAGATGAGCCCCAATGTCCTTATCTGGAAGATGGTGTGAGAACCACCCACTCTGCAGTCCTCCTGGTCTGGGTATTGCCCCCAGATGCCTGGCTCAATGTCGGTTTTTTTTAAGTACAAACTCTCAGATCCTGAAAGATTCTGGATCAAGAGGTTGGGATGGGATGGGTTGGGTGGGGTTTGGGGGTCCTGCACCTTATGAAGACCTCCAAAGAAATTCTTAGACATATGGGGCTCATGGGGCTGAGGGACCTTCTGAAAGTGCCCTGTCGATACAAAATACCCTCTAAATATGAGTGTGAGCCTTGTGATTGTTATTCAGGAAAAGGAAAAGTGAGGGTCTTTTCAGATTAGCCTTAGTGAGCAGGGCATGAAAGTTTGGGACTTGGCACCGGGAAGTTTTAGGGGACAAAGGAGCTGGTCTCGGGTGGAGGGCACTGCATGTGGGAAAGACACAGCTGAGGCTGTGAAGAGGTCACTTGCATGCACTGGAGTCACCTGTGTGGGTCTCAGTTTCCTCACCTGTAACATGCGGAGAGTAAGAGCTCCCTTCATCAACAGGGGAAGGTGGAATGCTTGCAGCTATGTGAGGATTCCAGGTAGTGAGTGCATGCTCGTGTATGTTCAGTTGTGTCTGACTCTTTGCAACCCCATTGACTGTAGCCCTCTGTCCATGGGATTCTCCAAGCAAGAATACTGGAGTGGATTGCCACTGTTTTTTTTCTCCAGGGGATCTTCCTGATCCAGGGATCAAACCCACATCTCCTGCATTGGCAGGTGGGCTCTTTACCACTGAGCCAGCAGGGATACCAAGGATTCCAGGCAGTGCTGGCAGAAAGGGAGTCCTGTATAAGGGCTAGCTGTTACCACCAGGATGCAGCTGGTGAGGGGCACAGTGCCCAAAGCGGCAAAGGAAAACTTAAGGACAGATCTTTTTTTTTCCTTCAGTTTTGCTGGAAACTGACTGAAGGGAAGCATGATTTTTAAATACTTAATCCACTCTTTGGGCTTCCCGGTGGCTCAGTGGTAAAGAACCTGTCAATGCAGGAGATGTGGGTTTGATTCCTGCATCGGGAAGATCCCCTGGAGGAAAAAAAATGGCAACCCACTCCAGTATTCTTGCTTGGAGAATCCCATAGACAGAGGAGCCTGGTGGGCTATAGTCCTTGGGGTTGCAAAGAGTCGGACACAACTAAGCATGCATGCACATGTAGAAAAAAATGAACTGTTTTAAAGCAGGTGTCAGGATGCTTTTTCTATAAAAGCTAAACAGTAAATATTTCAGGTTTTGTGGCTATACAGTCCCTTATTCATTGTCTTGTTTTATTTGGCTTTTTTCTTGTTTTGGTTTTTAACAATGTACTAAAAATATAAAAAACCACTCTTAGCTTATTGAACTGAATCTGGCTGGTGGTTTGACAACCTGTTATTCTAAAGAAAAATAAGGGAATTCCCTGGTGGTCCAGCAGTTAGGACTCTGCATTTCCACTGCAGGTGGCCTGGGTTTGATCCCTGCTTGGGGAACTAAGATCCCACAAACTATGCTGCGTGGTCAAAAAAAAATTTCTTAATTAAAAAAATAAAAGGTAATAACTTCACATGGGGAAGTGGTACGCAAATGACAGAAGCTTGGAAACGTTGCTTCAGAGCACCGCCAGTGTTGCCAGCTGACCACACACCCTGGCAACGATGAGGCTCCAACAGGGAAAAGTGGCTGTTTCCAGGGTCATGGCTTAGACTGGCAGAGAAGCAGACCCAGAGGGGAGGCAGCGTGGATGGCGTCATGTGGCTTAGAAGGCAGGCTTCTAAGCTGGTCATGTCTAGACTGGAATCCTAACTCCATCACTCACTCCTGATGTTGTGACCGTGGGTTTCTGCTGTGTGCCTCAGTTTCCCCATCTTGAAACAGGGCCAGGAGACCACTTATGTGAAGGACTTAGCCCAGCACCTCCCAGTAAGCCTTCAGTAAATGATGCCTCCTTTTGGTAGTTTTGCTTTTATTATGAATATCGCCATTGTTGATGATGGAATGCTAAGACTTTACACCCCAGTGAGCAAGGTCCCTTTGTCCTTAAATGGGATTCTAGGAAAAAAATAAACATAAAAGCAGGATGCTCATTAAGTCTGAATATTAGGACAATTTTAGTGTGTGTCCCATGTAATATTTGGTACTAAATTATACTAAATTTTTCATCGTTTATCTGAGATATCAAATTTAACTGGCTGTCCAGTGTTTTATCAGCCAAAGCATCTCTTTTATCAGTTCTGCAACAGAAAACTGAACCATTCACTCCACAGTGAAGGAGAAGGCTTGACATGTTTTTAGATGCGATTTTCTATATTTACAAAACCCTTTATTTTTCTGAGGCCTCCAGAATGGCTCAGTTGGTAAAGAATCCGCATGCAAGGCAGGAAACCCAGGTTTGATCCCTGGGCTAGGAAGATCCGCTGGAGATGGGAATGGCTACCTGCTCCAGTATCCTTGCCTGGAGAATCCCATGGACAGAGGAGCCTGGTGGGCTGCAGTCCATGAGTTGCAAAGGGCTGGACACGACCGAGCAGCTTTCACTTCACTATCTTTCTACTGTAGCTCCTGTTCCGAGGCAGCGCAGCACAGTTGCTGCTGTCACCTGCATTGACAGCCGCTGTTATTGAGAGTCTGAGCAACGCTCAGGTTACCTGCCCCAGGGAAGGTCACACAGCTCTTAAAGGAGCCAGCTCTTGAGTTTCTGCCCATCAGGCTGCTGAGATGCGGGGAAGTGACACAGATGTCTCTGAGCTATTTAGAGGAGTAGGGAGAAGATTCTAGATGAGGGCTGGAGCTGAGAAGGGGTGAGGGAGGGAAGCTCTGCTCGGTGGGGCCCAGTGTACTGAGGTTGGTGCTCTCTAGGCTCTGGCTCCCCCTGCTTCCCGTCCTCAGCTTATGCTGACCCTGCTCCCCCTGCCCTGGGCAGCAGCCAGGCCGCTCTGCACAGGCTGAGACCGAAGGAGGGGTGAGGGGTCAGACCACAGGGAAGCCCTTCTCCCGAGGGGTCTTTTTTCACTCAATGCTCTCCCATCAGCTTCACACTCACCTTGAACAGAGTCACTGAGTTCCGTACAGTTCGTGTTGTTGACACACACTCTCCAGATGTCTGCAAAAAACTCCTCTCCTACCCACCAGGCCTGGAACACGACAGGAAAACACAGGGAAAGGGTGTTTGTTCATTATGAAAACAAAGGCCTCTAGGGCTTCCCTGGTGTCTCAGTGGTAAAGAATCCAGGTAAAGAATGCAGGAAACACAGGTTCGATCCCTGAGTCAGGAAGATCCCCTGGAGAAGGAAATGTCTATCCACTCTAGTATTCTTGCCTGGGAAGTCCCATGGACAGAGGGACCTGGCAGGCTACCGTCTGTGGGGTTGCAAAGAGTTAGACACGACTGAAGTGACTGAACATGCATGCACGTGGCCAAAAAAATAAATGTTAAAAAATTGTTAAAACTAAATTAAATTTAAAAATTAAGAGAAAAAGAGGTTTGGGGTGGGAGTGTCTGTTTCTAACAGGCTCCCAGGTGATGCCCATGCTGCTGGGGTGCTGACAGGGACTCTCCCAGGACTTGGGTGAGGAGGCGAGGCTCAGCTGGTGATGATAAGAGCAGATGGTGGTGAATTCCCCCGGAACTGCAGGGGGGAAGCTGGAGGGGAGGACAGAAAGGATAATATCTCGGGGGGAAGCCTGTTATGAATGAAATGATCAAACAAGATTCTCCTGCCTTCGGTCCAAGTGCTTCTGTGTCTCTCTGTGTTCCTGTTCCCCTTTACGCCCAGATAACCTTTCTTCTGGGCTTCCCAGGTGGTACTAGTGGTAAAGAATCGACCTGCCAATGCAGGAGACATAAGGGATGTGGGTTTGATCCCTGGGTCGGGAAGATCCCCTGGAGGAGGGCATGGCAACCCACTCTGGTATTCTTGCCTGGAGAATCCCCATGGACAGAGGAGCCTGGCGGGCTACAATCCATGGGGTCACAGAGTCAGACACGACTGAAGCAACTTAGCACACATGCATGACCTTCCTTCTGCTTTCCATACACCCGAAGACTGGAATCTCCCCAACCCACCACCAATCACCCAGGCCACGGTCGGCCACTGAGCTCTCACTACGGGCCCCTCTGACACTGCCAAGTGTAATTTCTAACACATAATAAAGATCGAGTGACTCATCGACTGGTAAAAATGCCCACCTGTGTCTTCTCAGTAAGGCCCATGGTAACAGAAACACCCATAGGATAAGCTGGTGCTGTGGCTGATGGCTTTTCTGCCCCTAACGTCCATGTATCCCTTTCACTCTGTCTGGGACCTTTTCAGAATCCCAAGGGCTAGATACAAGAAACAGAAAAAGATTCTAAAAGCATGTTCAACTGTTGGTGGGAATGCAAACTAGTACAGCCGCTATGGAGAACAGTGTGGAGATTTCTTTAAAAAANCAAAAACCACTACAATACTGTAAAGTAATTAGCCTCCAACTAATAAAAATAAATGAAAAATAAATAAATAAAAGCATGTTCAAAACCATTCGGTTCACATAGAGTGGGCCTTTTGGATAATGGTAGGTTCCCAAGGCTTCAACAAGGTGGTCCCTGCCCTGGCCACTCATGACAGCTCTTCTGAGAACCCCAGGAGCCCCAACCCAAACCCAATCATTCATCTCCCTTAGGGCATCTAGAACCAGAGGTCTCTGGAATGCTTCAAATCTCAGCTCTGCCACTTCCTGACCTAAAAATTCCAGCAGGCACCTTAACTGCCCTAAGGCCCAGGTCCCTCATCATAAAATAGCGCTGGGAGAGGACGGATCTCATAGACTTGAGGTGACAATCACATGAGATGATCAAAGGGCTGAGCGCAGGAGCTCCAGAGTATGCAGCCTCTAAGTGACAGGTCTTATCCTGGTCCATGTTGCTATTATTATTTTGATGATGAATTGACAGGAGTCAATTATATGATTATATGCAGACTGACCTGGAGGCCACTTGTACAGTGCCCTTTCTGGCTTCCTGAGCAGAGTTTCTGACTCTAAATGTGTCCACAGTCTGAAGCCGTCAGGACTGAAGCCAGGCCTTTGGATTAGGATGTGAGCCATAGGGAACATCTGGTTAAAAACTTCATTTTTCTGCCAGGGGGGATGTTAATCTGTGCCAATCTGTTATTTATCAAATGCACCCCTGCCATATGGATACTCAAAGAAAAAAATTAAATCTTTCATGGGTACGTAGTCAGAGTGGGGAGTGTTCCACTCTGCTGGGAAGGGCATGGTCAGGTGGGCTTGCAACAAGAATCCTGTTGGTTAAGGAGCTGTCAGAGGCAAGAGGGGCAAAGGTTACCTGGGATGGGTCACCTGAGGGATCTAGGGCAATGGTCCTCAAGCAAGGGTGACTCTGCCTCCCAGGGGACATTTGGCAATGTCTGAAGATATTTTGGGGTGTCACAACTAGGAGCAGGAGTGCTGCTGGAGACCAGAGATGCTGCTATACACCCTATGATGTGCAAAGCACCCACAACAAAGAAAATTGTTCAGTCACTAAGTCATGTCCGACTCTTCTCAACCCCTTGGACTGCAGCACGCCAGGCTCTCCTGCCCTTCGCTGTCTCCTGGAGCTTGCTCAAAATCATGTCCATTGGGTTGGTGATGTTGTCTAACCATTTCGTCCTCTACCTTCCCCTTCTTCTTTTGCCTTCAATCTTTCCCAGCAACAGGGTCTTTTCCACTGAGTCGGCTCTTTGCATCAGGTGGACAAAGTGTTGAGGTTTCAGCTTCAGCATCAGCCCTTCCAATGAATATTCAGAGTTGATTTCATTTAGGATTGACTGGTTTGATCTTCTTGGTGTCCCAAAATGACAACAGTGCTAAAGTTGAGAAAATGACCTGAGGAGAGCTGAATTTAAGCCACATCTACAAAGGGCTTCCTACAGCTAAGGCATCTGAGGGGGACTCAGGGGTGAGTGGACCAACGTCCCTGCCCATCCAGACTTATATATGGGATGCTTCAAACTCCCACACTTCAGTCAAGAGTCCTCAGGCCTGGGGCTGAGGAGATAGGTGTGCCTTGGTAGGGTGCGAAGTGAAAAGTCGCTCAGTTGTGGCTGACTTTTATAGTCCATGGAATTCTCCAGGCCAGAATACTGGAGTGGGTAGCCTTTCCCTTCTCCGGGGGATCTTCCCAACCCAGGGATTGAACCCACGTGTCCCATATTGCAGGCGGATTCTTTACCAGCTGAGCCACCAGGGAAACCCTTGGTAGGCAGGATAAACCCAAATTATAATCACCTTGTGGGAGTTCTCAACCCTGCTTCTATTGACTCAAGGATCCAGGGGTTCTGGGAAGGTCAGAAGGAAAGGGAACTTACATTGTCAATGGTGGCGACGAAGAGCAAGGCTGTGGACGTGATGTGGAAGATGATGATGAAGGCCAGAAGCACCAACATTTTCAGGGGGCACCGTGGGGCTCAGAGCAGCGTTTAAAGCCCAGAGGAGATGTGCTAAACAGGGTGAAGAAAATTCAAATTTGTCAGTGATAAAGCACTAGGAAAGTGAAAAATTAAACTTTCATGTGATTTTAGAAAAGCTTAAACAGCGCTTCCCATCTTTCCTTTGCCTGGAGACTTCACTGGACAAAGTCTGGCATGAGGAGCTGCTCTCTTTTGCATCCAGAGGCCAGATATTCCTCGTGGAGGAGGCAGAGTGAGGATCAATTACAATCGCTAATTCAGAAGAGCACTGCAGTCTTCAAAGCAGCACATTGCGGGCACCAGGGCAGGAAGGAGCCTCTATGAGTGTGCTAAAATACTGTTTCAGATCCCCCACCCACCAAGCAATGCCGTGGGGACTTCACAGCACCAGAGTAAGCTCACTGTATGAGTATGCACTATCACAGTCCCTGCTGCCTTGCTGCATAACAAAGCAAAAGTGATCAACTAGGGAAATATTTCCTAAAGACCTATTTATAAAATTAATGCCAAAGGAAGTTGGTGCAGTCACTATGGGAAACAGTATGGAGGTTCCTTAAAAACCTAGAGTTGCCAGGTGATCCAGCAAGCCCGTTCCTGGGCACACATCTTTGTATCGAAAAGATCCAAATAAGAAAGCAAAGAAATTAAGTATTCAAAAGAATGCTTTGAATATCAAAGGACAAAAAGTAACACTTGGGAAAACTGATGAAGTCTTTGAATATTTGTAAAAAAACAGACCATCATGTTGGTCAAACAAAACGAAAATGTCAAGTAAAAATGTCACATCAACTAATCCAGGTGAACGAGTGAATGCTACCAACCCTCCAGATCAATACATGATTCATTCTTCTTTCACTCCAATCATTTGTGACCAGTTATCATTACTAAAATTTTGTAGAACATAAAATTAATTTTTAGTTTCACTTTGAAAAACACAGTCCAAATCAGACCTTGTTTTCACTATTTTATGATATTATAGCACCATTTTTCAGTGGGTTGATTTTATTTTTTTAACCCTCTCTTTCTCTCCCTCCAAATACCCCATCCCCCCAAACACACATTGTGTTCTGAACCATTTGAGAGTAGGTTGCCTATGCCATCTCTTTGAGAGAGATAAGTTTCATCTAAATTATTTCATCTGATTGATGACTGTCATTTATAAATTTATTGCTACTTCTATCTTGGGTATTACTTTGGAAAAGATGTACGGCTTCATCACATACTCTAATGTACTGTCTATAGATTATAAGATAAAGTCAAGCATGTATCTGCTGATACTTTTTAAGTGGACCTGTCTTTATACTTAGAAACGTCTCTTAATAGTAGGCTTCCCTGGTGGCTCAGATGGTAAAGAATCCTGCAATGCAGGAGACCTGTGGCAGGTGTTCGATCCCTACATTGGGAGGATCCCCTGGGGAAGGAAATGGCAACCCACTCCAGTATTCTTGTCTGGGAATCCCATGGGCAGAGGAGCCTGGCAGGCTACAGTCCATGGGATCGCAAAGTGTTGGACACGACTGGGCGCCTCTCACTCACTCACTCTGTCTATGACATACTTTATGTCTAAATATTTCAGGGTGCCTCTCTGAGAAAACAAGGCCATCGCTGTACATAACACAGCATGATAATCCCCCCAACTTTACATTATATAGTACTTTTATCTCATCTACAGTCCATATTCAAATTTCTCTAATAATCTCAGTAATGGCCTTAGCTATTTTTTTGGTCCAGGGCAAATCCAAGATAATTTGTTGCATTTTTTGGTCTTATCTCTTTATGGTTCCTCAGACTTTCTTGGGAGAAGGCAATAGCAATCCACTCCAGTACTCTTGCCTGGAAAATCCCATGGACGGAGGAGCCTGGTAGGCTACAGTCCATGGGGTTCTGAAGAGTTGGACTGAGCGACTTCACTTTCACTTTTCACTTTCATGCATCGAAGAACTGATGCTTTTGACCTGTGGTGTTGGAGAAGACTCTTGAGAGTCCCTTGGACTGCAAGGAGATCCAACCAATCCATCCTAAAGGAAATCAGTCCTGAATATTCATTGGAAGGACTGATGCTGAAACTGAAACTCCAATATTTCGGCCACCTGATGGGAAGAAATGACTCATTGGAAAAAAGACTCTGATGCTGGGAAAGATTGAAGGCGGGAGGAGAAGGGGATGACAGAGGATGAGATGATTGGATGGCATCACCAACTCAATGGACATGAGTTTGAGTAAGCTCCGGGAGTTGGTGATGGACAGGAAATCCTGGCGTGCTGCAGTCCACGGGGTCGCAAAGAGTCGGATACGACTGAGCAACTGAACTGAATGAACTGATACCTATGTCCCCTCCCTCTAGAACCTCCCTACCACCTCTCTCCCCATCCCACCCCTCTAGGTTGTTACAGAGCCCCAGTTTGAGTTTCCTGAGTCACAGAGCAAATTCCCATTGGCTATCTACTTTACATAGGGTAACATATATGTTTCCGTGTTACTTTCTCCATATGCCACCCACTCCTTCCCCTGCACCCACCGCCCATGTCCATAAGCCTGTTCTTTACATCTGTGTCTCCATTACTTCCCTGCAAATAGGTTCATCAGTACATGAAAGTCTCTATTTTTAAATGCTTCCTAATGATTAGATTCAGGGTATGTTCTTTTGGCAAGAATATTACAGACTCTTGTGACCTTGGTGTGTTCCACCAGGAGGCATAGGATGTTAGGCTGTCCATTATTGGTGATGCTAACTTTGATTAAGGGGTTCAGGGTCACCAGATTTCTCCATTGTGCACTTTTCCTTTGTAATTAAAAAGTAACTTCTGGGGAGGTATTTTTTAAACTGTGATAAAATGCACATCATTTTAAAATGTACTACTAATGACATTTAGTACATCCACAAGGTTGTACATCCATCACCACTGTCTAGTTCCAGAACACTTCCTCTCCTTGAAAGGAAACCTTGTATCCATGAAGGAGACACTCCCCATTCCTCCCTCCACTCAGCCCCCAGCAACCATTAATCTGCTTTCTGTCTATGGATTTGCTGATTCTGGATATTTCATAAAAAATGAAATGACACAAGATTTGTCCTTTTGTGTCTGGCTTCTTTCATTTGGTAGTATTTTCTAGGTTCATCCCTGTTGTAGCACGTGTAGGGAGATATTTTGGGTCGACCTTAAGATCCAATCTCTCGTTAAAATGTCACCCCAATAGTTTGAGCATCCACTGGTATTTCTGAAGTAGAATCACTTAAAATAGGCTTTTTTGGACAAATACCATATGCTATCACTTACATGTGGAACCTAAAATACAGTGCAAATGAACAGATCTACGAAAAAGAAACAGACTCATGGACATAGAGAACAGCCTTGTGGTTGCCACGGGGTGGGGAGGGCAAGATTGGGAGTTCAGGATTGGCAGATGTAAACTATTGTATATAGAATGGATAAACAACAAGGTCCTACTGTATAGCACAGTGAACTATATCCAGTATCCTGTAATATACCATGATGGAAAAGAAGATGAAAAAAAGTATGTGTATATATATATATATATACACATACATATATATAACTGAATCACTTTGCCAGATAACAGAAATTAACACATTGTAAATTAATTATACTTCAATAACATTTTTTAAAAAGAATAAAATAGCCTTTTTCTGACACTAACTCTCCCACTTAGAGAGCTGCACTGCACAACACCCTCCACCCTTCCTCTGCTCACTCTCAATCATGGGACACATTGTTCCCTCATGAGACTGACAAAGGCTCGTGAGCTCACACAGGGGCCGCTCTCTGAGACTCAGGACTCATGAGCAATGAGCCAGGAGCCGAGTTTCCAGCCGCCATTCTGTGTATGCATCATCACTTGGAAGAACCCAATGCACCAGCTCACAGATTTTCCAATTCTTTCAAAAAGGACAAATTCCCCTTTGTTCAGGCCTGCGTCATTCTTAGCTGCCATCCTATGCTGCCTTCAAATAGATGTATTTCTGGTCCTCACAAAAAACAGGGCATTACCACACTGAATGCCATGTTCCTTCAATATCAGCTGGAAGGCCAAAATGTCAGCATCACAAGCAGTGCCAGTAATTCCAGGGTGATAATAGCTTTACATGTTGTTCAGTTCAGATGGCATAAATACATAAAGACACATAACTAAACCTTTCTGGAACAGGAAAGAAAGACTTGAACTCTTTCCTAAAGGGTGGAATTCAAATGTTATAGGGCATGACTTTGGATAGTGCATTGGCATGGCATTACATAACAGTGAACCACATAGTAAGAAAGTCCCCATTCTAATCCTTCCAAGTCCATCAAGGAAAAAGACGGTGCTGGCCTGTCTCTGTGGTAGTGGTTCAGTCACTAAGTCAGTCCGACTCTTGTAATCCCATGGACTGCAGCCCACCAGGCTCCTCTGTCCATGGAATTCTCCAGGCAAGAATACTGGAGTGGTTTGCCATTTCCTTCTCAGGGAATCTTCCCAACCCAGGGATCAAACCTGGGTCTCCTGCACTGCAGGCAGATTCTTTACCAACTAAGCTACCAGAGGGAAGCCTATCTCTAACACTTAGCAATTTTCCTTTAAACACAAAGAAAAAGCAGACCTTTGGACTGGCCACAGTGCATAGCTAGCATTTAACAATGTTTTTAGATTTTATTATGCTTATTTTTAACATTCTTTCTTTTTATAATAGCATTTATAATTGTGATAGAAAGTCACCTTTTAAAACAACTTTATTGAAGTTTTAGTGAATCATTTAACAAAAATTATGGGGGAGAATGGATATATGTATATCTATGGCTGAGTCTCTTTGTTGTTCACCTAAAACTATCACAGCATTGTCAATCAGCTATATCCCAACACAAAATTAATAAAAAAATTTTAAAGGGAAATATTATTTAAATAAAAAGGCAGGCGGTCTTCAATGTTAGCAAAAATCCTGGAGATGGTTCTCAAATGCCTAGTGTCTGAGAAGCACTGCTTTAACACCTGGGAGTGATTTCAGTTGTAATCCCAGACATTAGAAATAAGCTCCT